TTTAGATCAACAACACAAAATCATTTTCGTTTTCTCTAAGGTCTTTTTGCATTGATTTTGATAAAGACACACAATTTGAATTGAGAAGTCGTTTATTTTAATTAACGACGTGTTATATAATATACGAAATTCCACAATATGAATAACTATGAACAGAACAATATAAAAATGAAACATATTGGCGGCAATTTATTTTTTATATAGACGCATCCGTTAAATTTACATACGTCTGAACTACCCACATACAGTGGTATCAGGTGTTTTAGAAACGAAATGGCGTTTAACGTCCTACTTTTCTGCGCCGACTGGGCTATTGAAAACAAGCATACGAAAAATTTTGCCCGGATAGCGGCGCTACGACCTACTCTTATTTCGAATTCCAATTGTCAAGTGTGTTGTTACGTGAACAACAACGTGTACTCGGGTCATCGGATTAACGTACCATCCAAAAGCTAAGGCACTCTCTTTGCCAGATCTCCCGGCTTGCACCCACTGACAAGGGGGAAAACACACTGGAAAATCCCGGGGAATATTATCGGCCAACACCGGGATCTCACCGAACCAGCGCGGCTCCAGTGACCCAGAAAAAGTAAACACATGTACCACCACACCCATCACTACTAAAGTCGTCCCGACAACAAAATCAAATGAAAGACTTCAACATAACTGGAGTGTTGTTTTCAAATTTGCAATTAAAGAATTCGGACTCACAAAGTTAAACATTTGTTAATATAGAGATAAGTGTTGGTTTCAACTCAGAATGTACTTTTATTAAGATATATTTAAAAGATAAGTGGGATTGAGATCTGTAAGAGTATATGGGTGGTATATGTATAAGTAAAAGACCGTACAAGGATTAAAAGCGGTCTATATCTATTGACTTACTGATAAAATCTAGAGTTTTTATATCCGATTAACAAATAGTTTTATTACTAGGAGTATAATAAAATACTTCAACTAAGACCGAGTAAAGGCGTTAACGGATCCTTTATGTCTGGAACACATGTTACGATTTTTATCAATATCATCGATAGATATTATCAGAAAAAGGTACGTTTGCAGCAAATACCGATGATGACTATCTGACATTGACCCTATTTGTCCGAAAATAGCTGATTTTGCAAGAAAAAAAATTCATGTATTTGAACACGTTTGGGGCTTCTGATCCCAACCCTTCTGCTCCGGCTTACCCATGAGATAAAATCTGTATTTTTTCTAATAGTAAGTGCAGGAGGACCGCACTACACGCAAAACAAAAATCTACAAGATAAACCTGCGAACAAGACAGAAAATAGACATTGCACCAAATAAACAAATATCAAATCAAGCGAATGGATCCGGGGGCCAACCGTAAGCGTCCACTGTGCTGTACAGTCCCGGGCCTGTATTGACACAGACTTAACTCAAATTTGAAAACAATCAGGAATACACAAAAGACAAATAAACTTAAAACTAATTTGTATAATGTGGTTTATACATTTCTGCATGTCATCTGTGTAAACACGCTATAAACAGAATAATTAATACGCGATAATACTAATGAGCTTAACGCCAAATGTAAAGGTATTTTACGAAAACGCCCAAATTGGAATACATCTTGGGTCACCCCCAAAAATTGATTTAACGTTATATAGCTTGGTAACCGTTCCATAGAATATTAAGATGTGTTACCAGACTGACCACTAGTATTTGCCGCATAGTTCGATAACATTTCAGCTTCATAACTTAAAGGGCCAGACTGCCAGAGAAAAGATATTATGCAATGTCGAAAAAAATAAATTGCGATTCCTTAATAGAACTTGTTCGATCTATGCTGAACATGCTAATAGTGTCCATGCAGTTAAACAGAACTTAAAGAACCAATCTAGCAGAGTGTGGCCCTACGACCAATCTGATTAAAATACAGATCTATATTTTATACTTTCAATGGCCTACACTACATGAAGATCTGACAAGTTGTACCCGAAGGTCGTGTCAGGGGTCGTACGAGCGACTTTTGACCCTATGGCGTCAGACATTGAATAATCAATCAGCATTGGCGTTTCTAGTGGTTTACCCACAGTTTCGTGCATGGCACACCAAGAAGTTGCCGTTTCATTGGCTTATCCCTCACTTCAACCAAAACGCCGGTAATATAACAACTCTTCCAGATCCTAGTGTAGTAAAGATAAGTAAAACAAAATTTTGAACTATAAAAAAACGAAACGAAATAGGATCTGTGTTTTAATCAGATTGCCCTACGACGACCCTTTCATGGAAAATACCGAGTAATGCAGTGTTTACCCGATATACACTTTTGCAACCCAACACACACTGTAAAATTGACAATGTTCAGGGAATTCTTTCCCACTAATAATTACACTTTTACTGTTTGGAGTAAGATGTATCAACCATTACCGTCTATAATTACACCTATCTCGGAGTTTAGTGGTCATGAATATCGGTTTTTAATTGCACCGTGTTTTAACAGTGTTGTATAGAGGTCTCGCGACTGCCCCTGTTATAATAAATCAATACCTAGTTGTTTGTCATTTCTTGTGTGAGATAAATGAATGTCTTTCCGCCACCCCCGCACTAAAATAAGGATGAAACGATAATACAAACTCCTCTGCACCTATAACATTTCATTCTTTTGTTACGGCGCAACAAGGTTAGGTTAACCTAAATTTCGCAGATCACGTCTATCCGTTTTATGTCATGACACACAGGGTTTGTAAAGCGCGTATAGGCAGTTGTATGGGCCCATATATATATATACTCTTCAAAAAAAGTAGGGGATATTAAAATGCAAATACCTATGCAGGATGTGATATGATAAATAGTCATGGACACTTGACATGCTTTGAGAGTATGTTCACAGATGAAGAACTTATCTGAGCTGTATATGCGGCACGCAATACACGTGGGAGAGGTTCGTTGTCAAATGTGACACTTCACGGACTTGTTGATGAAAACTGCCGCGTGCTGGTTTATCTATCCATGTTAGCATTCCTATCGGTTCTTGCATAATATTTACTGTTTAGCGTATCTTTGCTTTAGTGTGTTACCTTTATTTTCATCGGGAGACGTGTTCGTCGACGTCAATGTCAACCGACAACACTGCAAGAATTGGCCGTGGCACTGCAAGGGGAGTGGGTCAGTTTGCTCCAAATCGTGATTGGACGGTTGATTAGGAGCATGCCACGACGAATTGCAGAATGTCTGAGGATTGGTGGAGCAATTACTCATTATTAAAACAAAAATCAAAAACGTCCATTTTCACTTTTGACGGTGTATCGTTTTGCGAGTGAAATGGAGTCGTCAGATGAGCCGCCCATATGAACTGTTTATGTTCATGTGTAGGCAATTGGCCTGTTATTAACAAAGACTAGTTACCTCTAATAAAACAGCAGTGCGTTTCCGCAGTTTTGTATTGTTTCTGAATATCCCCTATTTTTTTGGAAGAATATATATCATTCAGATGGCACGGTTTTGATACCCGAGCTTACAGTAGGATCGCCTGGCCAACCTCGCGGGTTTTCATTTAGTCCTGCAGTATTTTGCCATTAATACAGATCACCATGAGCAAGCGAATTAATGAACGAGTTTGTTTGTATGGAAGCTTTCTCTCTCTCTATTTCTCAGTATGACCCCAAGTTCACAAAGCCTTATTTTAACTAATATATAATCCTTAAGAAACTATGTGCAAAGTTCTGGTTCAAAGATATTTCTCATAAATGAAATGAAATGGGGTTTGACGTCCTACTGCTCTACTCCGACTGGGCTAATGAAGACGGGATTTCTCATAAACTGTGATTGAAAGTTAAGTAAATTCTTAACTTCAGTCTGAGAATAATTTGTAAACTCAGGGCCAGGATCTATGCGTCGATTCCCCGAGTCCTTGGATTAAACATCTAAATCATTTCCCCAGTTGATGATCAACCTTAAAATTGGATAATCGAGACTTTGTTTATTATCGTAACAACGCTAACAATGACAATAAAGGCTACAGTGTTATTAAAATGAGGATTTCTCGGCTCAGAGTAAAGTAATTTGACTGAAATTCTCAGCAAATCCCCTTTACATTATCTATTTTTTAAAACTATTATATCGAGAACTGTACGCTCTTTATCTAATCTTCCATAATACCGCCTTAATTTAACCAGATAATTATAAGAAGACAAAATTATGTCGTATATGATTTAACAATTGGTACTACATTCGACCAGATAATCATTAGTATGTGATTCGACAGTGTCTACCAAATTCCGGTGAAGTCCTAGAATGTGGTTTTAAGTCCTACTTTTCTGTGCTATGAGGAAAACTGTGAACAAACAGTGACTCTACGGCCCACTCTTATTTCGAATTCGAATGGTCAAGAGTTCTATGTAAACAGTGCCTCGATTTGTTTTGGTTCCATCAGAACGACTAGACACTGCATTTGAGATGCCCTGCGTCCTGCATCCCTAGATCTCCTGGTTAGCGAGCCAGCATCTTACTAACTAAGCTAGCCAGGAAGTCGGGTGTTTGATCCCTGCCAAGGACAAGGACAGTTGTCTAGTCGTTCGGATGGGACGAAAAACCGAGGTCCCGTGTACACATTGGCGTGCACATAAAAGATCCCTTGACAGTTGAAATTCGATAAAAGAGTAGGTCGTAATGCCGCTGTCCGGGCAAAATTTTCCTCATAGCGTATGCCCGTCTTCATTAGCCCAGTTCCGGGCAGAACAGTAGGACGTTAAACCCCATTTCATTTTATTTCTTACTAACTAAGCCACAGCGGCCCTTACGCGGGTGTAAGAGGTATCCCAGAGGATGGAGTCGTGGGGACTATTATCCAGGCGTAAGAGGTAACCCAGAAGCAATAGGGATTACTCCCTATCAAATCACAAATACATTTAAGACGGCGTAATAGTTTGACGACATATCGGCTTTCTTTGAAGGAAAATAAAAGCTATATGCATTTATTTTACATTGTCTGTTCAGCATAAATGATAGAGATATATAATATTGTATTTCAGAAATAGTAATGACGGCTGTAAATCAGAATGGAAAGTCCCGTATGAGATTAGAGCGGAAGTTGAAAAGGGATATAGACATAAGTCAAGTCCACCATATTGCCGGAGGTCCATATAAGGGAATACTTGTCAACAAGACCGCAACATGTATGTATGTGCAGTGCTCACTCTGGGTTTCATATTTTTTCCGCCAAATTTTCATTTTAATTTATTAGCCATATATTTTCTCCGCCGAAATACACTATGTGATAGAATTCATTAAATTGCATCCATAAACTAGAGCATTCAGGGACACTCGAAAAGTGCTCATTTTAAAGATACGTTATGTAAGAGCTAAATCTTCCTATTGCAGGTCTTTATTTTGGCTTCAAATGCTAGTTTTTCTTGTCTTTCTTCTTCTTCTTCTTGTTTTGTGCGACGTTCTTCGAAAAGGTCCAAGGTTCGGTCGATTCAAGAATGAGCGACATCACAATCCCAGGATGGCTGTCATGACGTTATACTCGGCTTCTAGATCATATTACACTCGTTGTATTAATAAAACGATTACTAGAACCACTTTCTGTTTCATTATTTATCTAGCCATGGACACTGTACGACCGGCTGAAGGACGTTTAGAATTTTTAGCCTATATCAGGGACAAGGAAAACGGCAATGGAGGATCAAATCAGGTATGATAATATGAATTAGGAGATCAGGGAATCTCTAATTAACTGTCTTTAGGCCAGTATTAGTAGTTCTTAGCAGCAGACCTTTGGATGAACATTATTTCAGTTAAGGGTTGGTAGAATAAGAACGTGCAGGCATTATTTACGTAGATTTTGACGACCCATAAGAGAGAGAGAGAGAGATGGGGTTTAACGTCCACTCGACACAAACTAGGTCATTTCGGGACTAACATTATTTACATAATTCGCTTGCGCGTAGGGGTCTTTAGCAGTGGGAGGAAACCGGAGGACCCGGAGAAAACCCACGAGGTTGGACAGTCGACCCTACTCCTTGCCACGTACAACCGGGGATTCGAAACCACGCCAGTCGACTCAATGACAGACTGTATGATACAGCGCGCACACGCTAACCATTCAGCCATCCAACCCCCCACGACCCATAAGAGAGTGTGGGCATGGCATGACCCAATAGCTTAACCACTAAATTAAATACGCTAATACCAGTGCACGCAGGGACGTCTAGAGCAATTGTGGATAAACCGGGACACATGGGAGGGGCCAGTCATTCTAGAGAAACCGTTATTCTTTATCTGGGTCGACCGCTCATGAATAGCAAATCTGTCTGCTAGTGACTTAGTTTTCGACCAAATATTATAAACAATGGACTGTTTTGAATGGAAAAAGACGTTGACCGACTCAGACGCTGCTCTAGTCACCGATACGTTGACCGACACAGATGTTACTCATGTCACTGGACGAGACGTTGACGGATACATACGCCACTCTAGTCACTATCTTAAACACTGACTGCCACAAAGGTTTAGCATACTGCAGATAAAAAAATTCGAATAAATCAGAGACGTTTTCCATTTGTAGGATTACTGGACTTTACGTTTCTGGTTTCCACAGTTGTCTCTCATCAACAAGAATCGTGTAATGTCCGACTATTTCAAGGAACTTGTCAACCCTAAAAACATGCCGAGAAGTAAGTGTCTAAAATACACCTGTCGAATTTACCGCTATGTCGATCAGAAAAGGGTACTGAAATACAAAGTAATAAAAAAATTTAATAGTTGGCCTACTTGAAGTATATCATTGATATAAAACAACGTGTATCCCGTGCACTAAACCCATCATAGTTCACCATCCAAAATACAAAACTATGTTTTTGGCTCTCAGTCTGACACTAAATAAAATGAAAGGGTGTTTAGCGTCTTACTGAATGGGATAATGAAGACGAGCATGTACAATGAGGGCAATATTTTCCGGACGGCGTTTTCACCTTCTCGAATTTAATTGTTCTTTTATGTACACGTTATTGTGTACAGGAACCTCGTTTTTTTGGTTCTAGAATGACGCTTCATTCTGCACCTACATTCACAAAATGAAACTAGGCTGGAAGATCCCGAGGCACTTTTGAGGCCATCCCCGGGATTGCACGTGGACCTAGTGCTTAGTGAGCTAGCATCTTATTCACCGTGCCACGGTTTAAGCGCAAAACTATAACAAAAATTAAACCATGGGTCAAAAGAAGGTCATTGAATAAACAAATAATATTAATGAACGTAAAATATTTTTGCTTTATCATTTAGATTATATTGGATTTGTAAAGAGAGCTTTGGTTGTTTTACGGGAATTTGACCAGATACAGAGAGTGGAGTTAGAAGTTGAGGAAACAAAGGAACCCGCCCTAGATGATTCTTTTGGACCTATCCGTAAGATAACAAATATGAATTGTTTTATTCACTAGCAAATAATATCATCTATAATCCAGAATAAATAGCAAATATAATGTTTAAGACCACACACAACCAAATGTACACATACCAAGACACATTGTTTTAGAAGGTATACAAATCAATAGACCCTGACCGGAAGTAATGATCATTTGGAGTTTACATTAGATTACCTTTGGTTTGTATACGATAACATTGAGGCTATGACATTATTAAACATTCTAAATTACACTTTAAATAGCACCTTTTCTGTCCATATTTGTCTATTGATCATTCCTCGTGTTATCGCTTTAAAGTAAAACGACAGTAGAGTTCGAGATGAGTACATGCCGAAACGATCCCCATGTCTTGAAGTTAGTCGTTTTGGAACTGGTCCTGAATCTAAAAATAAAGATAAAAGTTTAGTTCTTGTTAACCAAACCTAATATGTAATTCCTTGCAACCCATTTCATTTTCTTTCTTATTCCAGAAACTTTCATAAGCGTATTTACTCCCGAGTCGTTCACATACCAGTTTGTTCCGGAAGTCACAGTCTCCAACAAAACTTTCTTGTCATTCCGTGTCAAAGCTTCACAGGATGCCCACATTGCCTTAAGCGCAATTTATGGCGACGTAGATCGCAAAACTTATGAAATTGTGCTTGGAGCAGATGGTAATAAAGCTTCGTACATTAGAGATGGGTCGTTAGGAGCCACGAAAGCTGAAGCGAAGACTATCAACATTATAAAAGAAGATGACTTCCGGTATTTCTGGATTAGTTGGAAGGATCATCGCGTGGAAGTTGGTCGAGGAACAGTGAATGGACAAGAACGTTTCATGACATGGGTAGTTCCTGAAAATAGAAGATTTAACGTAAATTGTATCTCCGTAGCAACCAGTAGAAAATCGAAAGGAGAGTGGGAATTTACTGAAATAATGGGTAAGTGAAAATCTTTGAACACTCCCAACTGGCACTACTAAACATAGTTAAACACTATATTAGTACATAGTAGGGATATTTTATTTTCTATCCCGATTCAGTCTTGTCCATGACACACATCTGTGTTTTGCATGATTGATGCCCGCCCATCTGAAAGAACAGCAGTACCACTACATTGCCATGTATCTATAGAGATGCAGAGGATGGGTCCAAGTTTTGAAGAACTGGTGGCTTCTTTATAGCGTAAATGGCGTCAGGCTGCAGCGATGGCGCCCAGAGCAAAGTTGTACCGAGAGCCGTCCAGATCAGCTGGGGGCACTTAGATCCACTTCGCGATTCCTAATGAATATACATGTAATGTAATTTTAGAATCAAATTATAATTTTACGTTATCAATATTTTGTGTCACAATCGGAAACACGAATCGTTTAATTCATTAGAATAATTTCTTTATGGATCTTAGCCACGGTTCCCTGTGAGAAATTGGGTCGACTCCCCTATCAATGGGCCTGGTTGTGGCCGTAATTCGCTACTGAACACCGGGACACATACATTCTGACAACCGCGTGTGACAAAACGTTGCGGTTTGTTTATGAAAGGGCAATAACTCCACTTTAAAATTAGTGTGACTGGAAACTTGCTGTAGCACAGACAATGGACTGTCTTAAATAACATAGTATATTGTCGATCACAATGACAGTCAAGTAGATCTCTGTTGGACAAATAGATGGTTAACATGTCATATTTATCAACATTCCCTTGTTTTTATTTTTCAGATGAATATCCAGAAGAAAACAAAGGTAAGTTTTGAACTGTCTTTTTGTGCGTCACGGTGGCTCGGTGATTATGATGCTGGGTCATTAACCGGAAGGTCCCTGGATCGATCCCGACATTGGCCGAGAAAGTTCCTCGATATTATCCAGCCTGCATAGTTTCCTCTTGTCGGACTGAAGCCTGACAAAGAAACTCGCCTATTCCTAGGTTCCGTGTATATCAATGAAGATCCCCTGGCAGTTGGAAATCGAAATAAGCCCAGGTCGTAGCGCCGCTGCCAGGAAACAATTTCCCTGTCATTTTTATCCCGTTTTTGTATAAACATAAGAAGTTAAACCCCATTCATTTAATTTCATTTTATATCACTGGGTCGTTAATCCATTAGTACACTAGATTAATTCGTCAAATATGAAGTTATGTAAAACTGATTCAGTATAACGGCATGTATTACTTTAATAATAATATTTACAGTAAAACAACCTGACCCAGCAAAGGAAGCAAGACGAGCAAAAGTAAAAATTCAGATTTTATGGATAGCGAAGAAACAGCGTATGTTGCAATGCCTTGAAGATGCTTATCCGAATACCATCAAAACCTCTAATATATTCCAGTAAGTAGGCCTGTCGTCAGAATCTATAATATATTCCAGTAAGGCTTGTCGTAGTGCTGTAAAAGTGATTTGGGGCAACCTAGCTTTCCCTTTGAATAAGGCGCTGGCTCACTAACCAGGAGGTTTCGGGTTCAATCCTGGTGTTGGCTGAGAAAGTTCCTCGGGATTTTGCGGCGTGGTTCCCAATTGCTAGTGATGCAGGGTGTAGGTCATGGCAAGAAACAGTATCTGAATGTTCGGATGAATATCTCCAATATATGGGTAATATACCCTCCCACGTACAAACCGTGTGAATTGATGATTTTTATATTTGGATTAAAACATAATCAAACTAATCTATGAATCAAGAGTTTGTTTCAAATCCCCTCAAAACATTTCAACTACCAACTTCCGGAGAAATCTATTATAAGCAGCATTGTGTGTCGCGTGACATTTGACTATTTATATTTTCAGCTAGTATTTGTCGTTGGACATACAGATAGCAGCCTAAGTAATTTTTGGTATTATTCTCTGCCAACTTCTTTTCCCAGCGTTTAATCGTTTAAATCTCTCACAGTTATCGTCCCCGCTAACCATTTTCTCAAGGTAGACCAAGCGTCCCTATGTCAGTCTAGCAGACAACTAGCCGACGGGTTGCCAGTTATTGACATCCTTACATTTTTGCCTTGTGCCTGAACCAAGAGTAATTTGCAAGCAATCAAGTATTTTCTAGTAAGATTGGGTGTTTATGGTTTCCATATACATGCACATGTATACCAAGTTCGCCCTGCGTTTATTGAAAATAACTGCTTATAGCTTATAATTATTTCGTGAAAATGAATCTTTAAAGTCACTATTTCTGAAATTCTTCATGATTTAAGATTCTTTCGTTCAAAAGCCAAAAAATTACTGTAATTTTGTATTGTTTGTTTTTGTTTGTAGATTGTGTAATATACGTCAAGGAGATGTTATATCAGCTGCGGTAGTTTTAAAAGATTTACAGAAACGAGGCTTGATAAGGGAGATAACTGCGGGTGAATGGGTTAGAATACCATCAGAAGAAGAAGCCAATCGTCATGGTAATTATTTAACTCATGACGTTTGACTAATGAAAATTAAAATATAAATAAATTATTTTAAGAATTGAATTGACATATATTAATTCAAATTGTTTTGATTTAACAGAAGTTAAAATAGTTCAGAAGTTACCACAAATGCCCGAACGAGATGAACCGAGAATTGCCATAATAACAGCGTTATATTGCGAGAAGTTGGCAGTGGATGCTATGGTAGAAGATAAAATCACGTACATACAACATGAGAAAGGATCAGAAGGTACGTAGATGTGGGGCGCATGTCCAACGTCGTGGGTTCACTACGCGTCATTTGGTTTCTTCCGACTGCTAAAGACTCTAATACGCAAGCGCATTATTGATGTTAAACCCCATTTCATTTAATTTCATTTCTCCGTTTTCCTCCCACTGCTGACGAACCCTACGCGCAAGCGTTATATTGAAATAAAGTGGTCGTTAAACCCAATCTCTCCCCCTCCCCTGCCCGCCCCTCTCTCTCTCCCCCCCCCCCCTCTCTCTCTAGAACAAACATTACTATAAAAAATACACCGGAAGCTGAGTAGTGTTTTCTCAACTACAATAAGTGTCCATCGCAGGTATGAATAGCCGAAACTTTTCCTCGTAAAATATTTGTTAGCAATTATACCATTTGGACATTATTAAATTGTTTTTATATACTTTAGGCGAGTCACAGGTTTATACTCTTGGTCGTATTGGTAAGAGTGTGGTCGTATCTACAAAAATATCTCGACAAGCGGACAAACAAAACGATTTAACAGCCGCCGAAACAGTTTCAAAACTACTTGGTAAGTTTGTAGACAGCAAGAAACGCTAGAGAACAGAGAAATAACCGGATCCTCGTCCGTCAAGCAATATATCTGAATGATTGTGTCTTGTTATTGGCTGGCTGCTTCAATCTAATCTAGCATTCGAGGTCTCAGCCAACCAAGAAGAATCACTCTTAGAGCAATCTGGTTTATGTTTCTACTGGCACCTGTAACATGCAGGCTAATATGTGATCTGTTGTGTGTTTGTTTTCTGATACATGGACAGGCCAAGTTCGTTCTGTCCTGTGGTTCAAATATGCACCCTATTGACGTATTCGGGGGAATTCCTACTTACACATTCTTGAGGGTTGCCAGGAGCTTCCTATAATATGCCTTTTAAGGAAAAAAATCAAACTGCAGCAGGTAACACAATTCTGGTGATAACCATTATTCGTTCTTTGTAACCCTGACATAATTTATGGCCCAGTCGATTATAACCCCGAGTTTGGAGGGATGATGATGATATGCTATCTATGAACGAAAAAGATGCATATTATTACATTTATTGTTTATTTTGAATTGAACGTTGCAATGTGATGTTACCAATTAACTTGGAGGTTACGGCGAGGGTCATGGGTATATTATCTATACATGCCATGAATCCGGTACCAAATACAATCGCTTGCATGCCCTTATTGACTAGATTTGGCATCTCTGGTCTCCCAACCGCTAACGAGCCCTGTGAAGAAAATAATGCTACGATAGATTTCTACTTGAATAACCTGGTTGTGTTTTTAAAAGTTTTTTTTTCTTCAATGTGCCTACATTGCGATTCCATGGAGCACATGGCCGATCATGACTTACGTTAGTGTCAAACTATTATACAACGTTTGGGAAATATTCCCTTATTGTTAGTTCGTTTTTCATATTGAGCGAAGTCATTATCACTTCAGACCCAAGACTATACTGCACAGTGGACGATTGCAGCTGACCCCTCCGGATCCATACACTTTATCTGATATGTGCGTTTGTTGTTTGAGGTGTCTGTATATTGCGTCCTGTCCGTAGGTTTGTTATGTGTGGTGTGGCCCCCCTGCTGTTACTATTAATTAACTGTAATGTGTCATTTCAGAAACTTTTATCCAGGTGAAACACGTGTTATTGGTGGGCGTTGGCGGAGCTGTACCATCATACAACAATTACAACAAACATGTCCGACTCGGGGATGTCGTCGTTTCCGTTCCACGTGACAACGGAGCCATTTATGTATACTGTTCTAAAATAGACAAAGTTCCAAATTCGCTCAGATATAATTATTCAGCTGAAGAATATAGACCACATGACCAAACGTTAATAGACGCGGCCCGGTCTTTACGACATCAAGCGGAAACACGACACCGTGGTGCGAAACCGTGGGAAACGTACATGGAAGAAGCAATGGATATTTTGAAGGGACAAGAATCAAATTTTCATCGTCCATCAATTCGCACAGATCGTTTATATTTTACCAAACAAGATAGGACAGTAATCCAGTGCGACCATCCCCGACCAACGGACCCGACTTATAAAGACGGACAAACCCGAATCAGCTACGGGGCCGTAGCAGCCGGTAAGCTGGTGGCATACACACCGGATCTTCGTTTAGACTTTGCTAATTCTAATGACATTAAGTGTTTTGATAGTGGTTTTAATAGTATTTTGGATCGCCTTGACGGAAGTAAGAAGGAGAGTTATCTTCTCATTAGAGGAATGAGTGATTACGTGGATGGCAGTAAGAAAGAATGGCAGTGTTATGCATCACTTGTGGCAGCAGCTTATATGAAGGCATTAATTTTGACTCTTTAATTAATAGTGTAGTAAAGGCGTGTGTACGTTGAAAAAATGAAAATAACGGATTTCCAGCAGTGTTACAAAAAGCTAGATCGCCAAGAATCTTCCCTTGTGTGCGATATAACTCTTGGTTGAAGCTGGTCTTAAACGCTTACGTAGACGGCCATACGAAAGAATGGCAGTGCTATGCATCACTTGTGGCAGCGGCTTAAATGCGAAAGCCTTGATTTTGACTCTTTAAAATAGATCTGAGTTTAAAATTGATAATGTATTTTTAGCAGTAATATAAAACCAGATCGCAAAGCATCTTCTCTTGTCTGCGACATAACCCTCGGTGGAAGCGGACTTTAAGCCCCTCGAACAAACGAATAAATCTAAATTTGCAAGGATTAATTATAATCCTGCGAGCAACACCAATCAACGTATAAGCTACTTATTTCATGGTGAGTGTTTATTGAAAGGAAATGAAATCCGACTTTTCTACACAAGACAGGCATACGTCATGCAGTTTGCTATGTGGGAAAACTGACCGCGAATTCCAACTGTAAAAGGTTCTTTTACGTACACGCAAACGTGTACACAGGGGATCGGATTTTTGTTGCATCCGAAAGACTAGGCTTTGTCCTTGCCATATCGCTGTCTTGCACTCGCTGACAAGGGGACACCACACGGTGAACTTTCTCGGCCAACACCGGTGGACGCGGAACACCGACTTTTCCATCCGATCCCAACTGACAAGGAATTGATCACAGGATGTACCAGCTCAGTGGGCCATCGAGGCTCCCATTATGAATAGGTGCTTCGTGCAAATATTAAAAATACTATTAATACACTGTGTCAATATGTCCATATAATTTCTGTAGAGGTATTTTATAACAATAAATATTGAGCATCTTATGTCTACATAATAGTTGTATCGTGCTTCTTATGTTTTGATTTTCTTTTTTAATTTCATCCATTAATGACATAAATAAAGTTATTGTCGACAAAGACCATTTATGTTTTCCATTAAAATGAATAAAAAGGAATCCTATTTGTACAGTAATCCAAACTGTTTGGTTTGCAAACTTTGATATCCGCGATTAAGCTCGGAGAGTTCGGTGTTGCTGTCCCAATTAACTATATCCCAACAAAATTAAATAAATTCTTTCGTGTGTCGAGTTTGGCCGTCGACCGTGAAGAATAACGGAATTTTCGGACCATTCACCTTTAAAATTTAAAGATGGGTTCCCGCGTACAAACTGGGTGATTTAATGGTATATATGGACCAAAAACATATTCAAACTAATTAATTTGTCATAATTATGCTTCAAATCCTTCTCAGACATTGTAATTGCGAAGGAATGCCCTGCTATTAAAATTCGATCAAACAGGTCATGTTTACGTCACATCTTGGGAGTCAGAGGAGAATTCATTGCATACATAAGACGATGTTGTCTTTAATCGCTTACTATTTATTACAAATATCGAATCCTAATTAAATTCTCGGATTATCCACAACCCGCGTCTTTTTCCGTCATTTTTATCTCAGAAAGTATTGTACGTCTAACTCTTCATAAAGTTTATCAACTTGTACATCAAGCGCTCAATGTTCGCTTTTGACCTTTGACATCACACGTGCAGAAGTTCCTAACCGTCGGGCTGTTGATTAGGGGAACCCTTACATTTTTGTCCTGTATACGCTCCATGAATGTTTTTCGGGGAATCCAGTATTTTTCTAGTAAGATTGGATATCTCTACTTTCCATATATACCAAAATTGCCATACTTTTTATTGGAAATAACCACCCGATAAATACTTTTCTGGGAACTCATCTTTAAACTATGGGTTAAATCTCTAATATATATCAATGACAATATAAGTAATGACGCTAGAGAAAACACGACGATAGAGCAGGTTATTAAATGGGACGTATCTAGAATTAATGAATTTCGCGAGGTAGTTATAAGCATATAAAGCTCTAAATAACATTGTTTTGTGTGATAACGGTAACATTCATATTCTTGTCAGAGAAATCGCTGTATGGAGCTGAATCGTTGCCATATTAAGAGAAAATATAATAGTTAAAATGGTAAAAATGGTCATTTTCGAGATTTTTTACTTGTAAATATCACATAACACAAAATCACTATATTAGTATCTAAACAAACCACCGTTGGAAATTCACTCAAACTTTTTCATCTTTGCATTTTCAACTATCAGCCGAAGTTGACATCATAAGACGTCAGTATTGATCGTCTCGGCTAAAATTACTACTCCATTGGGTTATTTATAACTCTTAAGAATTGTCCGAATTCGTTGTCATGTCGCACAACTTTTTGTTTAATGAGTTATATCATCGAACCTTGATATGAGGTTGGCTCATTGCAGATCGGATGAATCTTTGACAGCACATCGGCATGGATGTGCGCGAATTTATGGAGCTATAACATACATCTGAAATAAGTGAAACATGAAACTACATGTACAAGGGCGGTGCCTGGCTGCATTAATCAGTTAAGAAAAGCTTTACAGTTATTAGACGATGTAATAAATTGCAAACAAGACAATTAGGACATGGCAGTGAGTATCATCTTTCGCCAGGAAGAGTTGATCCGCCAAAGTTATTTATTCCACAAGAACAGTTACAATATTTGGTTGATAAAGATCTGTAATTTGTAGAAAATAAAAAAATAAATAAATAAATAAAATACCCCGAAAAGAGGTCGGTTTCCAGAATATTTTAATTTACCTTTTCAATCGATCATGATAAGGTACGGTAGTTGTGATCGCAACACATGCAGCAGAGTCTACAGGCCAGGAGCCCAGGGGGCCAACCTAGCTGAAAAGTGTACCAATTTATTCCTATATGTTATCAATGCATGTATATCTGGTATCATCAGAATGTAAGTCTGCCGGGTTTCCGGTGGTGGGTGTGGTATTACACGCCCAAAATGCCATGCACCCCAACTAAGCTAGATTAGCTCAAAAGTGTACCACAAAATCGTACAGCAGTGTACCGCACATCTTCAGGTGTTACAAAAACACTCTAACAGACATTTCTAGTGGTGGGTTACCCCTGACAGAGCTATGTGATTGTCAGGCTTTTGTACTTTGTAGTGGTAGAGTATCCCTGACAAGAGTTATCTAATTTCCAGTCCACAGCTAGGCTAGATTAGTTGAAATCTGTACCCCCTAAAACAGCTTTGGAGTTGTTCAGTACCACCACAGGAATCATGAATGACCATGTTGGCGTACGTGTACTTCAAATAAAGTACACCTTTATGGTACCTACAATTAAACACATACCTACAAATAACATATTACGTTAAATATTGTTTTATATAATTAATTAATCACCAGGTGTTTTTATAAGTCAAAATCCTGCAGGCCTACAGTGCAGTGGACGCTTACGGCTGACCCCCGGATCCATTCACTTGATTTGACATGCTTATTGTTTGAAATATAAGTGTAGCCTATATATTGTGTCCACGGGTTTGTATTGTGTAGTTGTTTATGTGTGATGCAGTCCTCCTGCTCTTACTATTCTCTCAGCTAACCGAAAAACTCAAAATGCATCAGCCGCTATTAATATCAACGTAGATTTAAATTAGCAATTTTTACCATTTTGACTATTTTGCAATTTTAACCATGATATTTTCTCTTAATATGGCAACGATTCGGCTCCATACACTGATGTTTTTCCTGCTATAACTGTTTCTTTATTTGGAAAAACTGAAGTCAACCATGTCATTCGAGATAGAAATAGAAATCTTAAAGAAAATAAACGGTTTGACAGTGATTGTAAACTAGCCCGAAATAAATTTAATAAAAGTAGAAATATTTTTCTAAAAAATCGATGGGATTTTAACAAAATATTATTAAATCTGCATCGAAGTGAGTTCAATCAAATTAAAAGAAAGCCTAAGTTGAAATTCAATAAAGCCTTGGGATCTCATCTGTGTGCAAATTTTTAAATCTTACCCCAAATGAGTCTGGGATGCTATAAAGAAAAATAAAAATTTCAAAGCTGAAATCTGACATCAAGTGAATTTTTTAAAAGTATTTCGAAATTATGTATAGCAAAGGTTCTGAAACTAATCCTAATTTTGACTTAACTTTTGTCAACAATAGCAAATGTGATCAACTAGACAAACATATCAAATGATGAAATATTACTTGCATAGTAAACCATTCATTTATAACACCTGTTTGTATACAAAAAATACACATATTATAAATTAGGATTTTTATTACAAAATTAAAAAAAAACAAAAAAAAAACAAACAAAAAAACCCGTGGAAAAAACTGTATTCTTGTATAATTTTGGCCCAAAAATAATTTATTTAATACCCATATATATAGAGAATCTCATACCAGTCTTTTTTGATATCAAAAAAGACGATTAGGAGATTTTATTTATCACCCAATCCCTTCTTACATGCACAAAAAGATAAATATAATTCTTTGCTGTAGATTTCACTTTTACTGAACATTACGGCGTAGTGATACATCATTTTTTGACAGCAATTCAACCATTGCAAAGTCCTTTATATTGATCCAGTGTTTCCATCAAGGCCAACTGAATAACAATAGTTCATTTTTAATAAAAAAATAGTTACTTTTAATATGAAATGAACTGTTCTTTGAAAATAAAAAAAGTAGTTCCTTTTCAACTGACCAATCAAATTCATGTAAAGCGATATTTCCTAAGGAGATATCGCAGTAGATTATGAAATATATCAAACAAGCGATATCTACTGTAGAATGTATTATTGGGTGATAAATAGGTTTAATAAAATGGATTACTGTAAAAATAAATCTAACCGAACGATATTTTGCTAAAATGATAATAAATAAATAAATATCCCCCCCACCCCTCTCTATTCAAATAATCCATTCATCCATTCATCTAGAATCATTTTATTTACTAGCAAAAAATATATATTACGACTGTTTACAAAATTCGTGACTATTCTTCATAGTTAAATCAACACCCTAAACAACTTTCAAACACGCTTATTCACAAATATAACGATTAAATTAACAATCAGCAACAACTCTCGTCAATTCTTATTCATAACTGAAGACTTAAAACAACCATAAACCACCCTTATTCACAATCATACATTTGAATTCACAATTAAATTAAAGCAACTCGCTCACAAACATACACTCGAATTCAAACTTGATACAACCCTCACAAACAAACATACCGTTGAATTCACGCTTGATACAACTCTCACCAACATACATTTTAATTCACACTTGATGCATCCCCCCACAAACATACATACAGTTTAATACACGCTTGATGCAATTATTACAAAGATACATTTGAATTCACAGTTGATGCAACTCACACTAACATATTATTCCCAAATAGTAGATAAACCAGATACAACATCAATAAAATATGATTTGGCGTTGATTCTTTGTCTGTTAAAATACAAGTTTCTGTTCATCGCCCAATCTGGTACATCAACGGCTTCATCTTCAGAAAGTTCATCAGCCCAATTAACAGAATCTTTTGACAAGTTTTCTTTAGCAGTGACATTAAATTTAAAATCAGGCATCAAAGCCCAGTCAGGGACATCTACGGGTCCATCATTCATAGGTTCGTCAGCCCAGTTGATAACATACTGATGGTGAATTTGGTTAAAGTCATCAATATTTTCTGTGGTAGACCGATGTCTTCTAGAACAACCATCTTTAGCATGTCGACTAAAATCTAATCCGGGTATCAAAGCCCACTCTGGGACATCTACAGGTCCATCATGCACAGGTTCGTCAGCCCAGTTGATAACATATTGATGGTGAATTTGACTGAGGTCATCAATATTTTCTGTGGTAGACCAATCATCTTTAGCATGTCGATCAAAATCTAATCCAGGTATCAATGCCCAATAAGGAATATTTGTTGGTTCTTCATATGAGATTTCGTCAGCCCAGTTGATCACTGAATAATGTTGGTTTTGGTTTAAGTTCAGCTGAAAAGTCTCGTCCAATTCTTC